TTTAAGTAACGGTTTGAAGATGAATTTAGCAAGTTTCTCCAAATACCAACTACGACAAAACAGATGGCGCTTAAGTAACATAAGAGACACCCACTTCAGTAACTCCATGACCACGTCTCAAAGCATTTGTCAGGCTGTCGTTAAAATAAGTTAACCAATATATTTCGTGTTTGCGTACTTGCGTAAGCTACGGACAGTTCTTAAATGTATATAAAGTGTATAATACATGTAAACTTTATCTCTCCTACATATAGCATAGGGCGGGAGTAGACTGTCTGTTTCATACATTTTTTGTGCATTGACTGACTGAAAAAGCCCTGAAATTCGAGATCAGGAAACTCATGTGGTACACAATTTACCACTCTCTGAAGCGGTAGAAAAAGTATGCAATTACTTAAGGTGACGTCATACATTTGCAGCGGTCAGTTATAGCTTGGCCTTAATGAGTTTCGTCTAAGCCGATATCATAACTTACTACAGCTTTGTTAGAGTAACAGTGTGAAATATATACAGCTAAGCGAAATGGGACTAGCTAAAGGCGTACGAGTCATTCTTGCAGTGCTACTGTGGATAAACATGAATGAAGGTAGTTTTTTTATTATAGAGGAGGACAGGCAAGCATGAAGTTCATTTGATGGTAATATACCCCAGCAATATAACATCTAAACAAACGCTGACAATATATTTTGGCTTTAGATGTTCGGAAGTCCACATAAATACTGTCTATAGTTTACCGGAGTAGTACACATTTAAATAAAACACTTTAACGGTTTAAAACGCGATATATTAGTTAAACTTATTTAAAAATCATTTTCAAAGGTTTTAAACCTTAAAGTTTATTAAATCTAAGTCTCCCCGTGACCACGGCTGCTGCAAAGCATCCGAAACGTCGGGCCGAAGTTAAAAATCATTTTCAAATAAGTTTAACTAATATATCGCGTTTTAAACCGTTAAAGTGTTTTATTTAAATGTGTACTACTCGCGTAAACTATAGTCATCTGTGGACGGTAGAACGAAATTTCTATATTCTTACCACCCATATCATATCCAGAGTTCCATGCGAAAATGGTTTAGAAAAATTTCAAGTTTATGAGAAAAATGTTGGAACCCGTGGAGATCTAATAACCGATGCATTGATTAAATTAGCCATTCACAGCTACCAACGACCTCGTCAAAATTGCGAGAAATTAAGCAAAACGTTAATTTTTTTATAGTACGTGCGAATTTAAACTAAAGCTGTTAATTGGTTAAGAAAAGTTGTTTACAAGATAGCATATTTACTTTTAAAACTTAAACGGTGAAGTGTTGAAATTTTCAATTTAAAAAATGTAATCTCGAGTTTTTCTTGTGGAAACTTGAGATGGGAGGAGCAGTTAATTAGAGCAAGTGATTAAATTTTTCTCCTAAGTAGCCTGGCTCGACGTTAACCACTGTCTCGTTAGTATTATGTAGGGTAATTATGCTTTGCTCTGAAGTAGATCTGTTTAATATACGCTACTAGACATGGAATATAAATTACAATTAACAGTGCTTGAAAATTTTATACGATAAGTAATGCACATATTTTTAAACTTATTATTTAATATATTTCGCGTTTTAAACCGTTAACAGTGAATTAAAAATAGATTTTTAGGACGCGGGCAGGACTTGAACAGGCAACATCCACAGCATTGCTCTAACCAATTGAGCTACCGAGTCAATTTTTAATAGATTTTTATATACTGTCTTTAGTTTACGCGAGTAGGACACACTTTAACTGTTTAAAACGTTATATTAGTAAACTCTTTTACTATTATTTTGCACGTGGCCGCGGTCACGGGGATACTCGCTCTCCCTAACTTATATAATATATCGCGTTTTAAACCGTCAAAGTGTTTTATTTAAATAGATTTTTATTTTATTTAATATATTTCGCGTTTCAAACAATTCGACATTGTTTTTAGATTGAAAATTTTTGAACTTGAACAGGCATCCACAGCATTGCTCTAACCAATTGAGCTACTGTGTCAACCATTAAAAGTGTTATTTAAATGTGTTAACTACAGACAAAACTTCTAAATGTAGGGACTGATGCTTTGAACCACCCGGACAGTGTCTTGACTAGCAGGAAAGTTTGCTGCCGTTCGTGCATTACTCATCTTTCACCATTGTAACACATTACATATTAGTGGATATTTTTTATATGTGTGTTTCTTATAAAGCGTGCCAAATCTAAAAAAATCTCAACGACTTTTAATTAATATCTTTTGAGATTAACTCGCTAGAACGACGAACGACATCGTAGTTAATACTAAGTCGTAAAGAAAGATAATATAGTGTTATTTTTTTTGAAATAAGTCTTTGCTAGATTTTGCTAGATTACTTTTGTAGTTTGTAATCTTATTATTTTAAATATATTTTTAGTATTTCATGTGCAAGTTAGTTGCGTAAGCAAATTCAGTATTAGTAATTATAAATTCAAGCTTTTCCAATTTTAGGAGAGTACTGCAAAGCGAATAAATCAATACGACGAAAGATTTTCCGACTCGTCAATGGAACAAATATACGATACTGCGTGGGAAATCCTACATATTGAGGTCGTGTAAAGGCCTTTGTGGTGCCACACAAAGACAATAACGATTATCGGATCCCACAACATCCATCTATGCTGTTTCGTAATCGCCGACTCTATAGTCTATGCTCTATGCTGTCTGGGAAATGGGGAATTTCCGATGAATGCGCGTATTATGAAGACAATTCCTATTATTTATGTAATAAGCACGGCGCCTCTGTAGTTCAATTAAATATATTGATTAGATTTCGTGAGGGCCGTGGTTCTAATCGTTGGAAAACAATTTTCTAAATACTCCCCTTCTCACCGTCGATCAATAGCGATTAGCAAGGAAAACAAAAATGGCTGACATGTCTATCTATTTTGAAATAAGATAATAGGGATTCAACTTTTGTATAATACGTACATTGTGTAATAATTGTATAAAAAATAGTTAATTTGTAAATTAAAGTTAACTAATATATGTCACGTTTATAACCGTTAGTAATTAAATACTGTCTATAGTTTACGCGAGTAGTACACATTTAAATAAAATATTTTAACGGTTTAAAACGCGATATCGTTTCGGATGCTTTGCAGCAGCCGTAATATATCGCGTTTTAAACCGTTAAAGTGTTTTATTTAAACCTTTAATAATGTTTTATTTCAATTTCGTATATAATATAAAAACTAATGAAAATGGCATATAGTAATTACAATCACATTTTTTTTTACATATTTGGTAACTTTGATAAAGAAATTAAGGCTAATGAGATTCTAATAATTAATACATACTTTAATGTAATGATGCAATAAGTGCAGAGTTTAAAAATTACGCATCATTAACGGAATATGTTTATTCTATTAAAATTATTATTCCAAATGTAATTTTCTTCCACCTGTAGAAAATCTGTCACAAATCTTAATTCATCTCTGTTTATTAAATTTTAGAGAGCGATTGACTGATGATATTGAACATTCCAGATATTTAAATAATATTTTTATATAACGAGGAAAGTAAAAATGCCAATTAGTAAAGGTCAAAATTAATTTACTATTTTGTAGATTATAATAATAATTTTTGCACTCTGCTCTTGTAGATTAACATATTTAGATTATAAAAATATCAAGTCGTGATATAAAATTGCAGTTAGGCTACTCTGCCTCTAGCGGCCTCATATTTGATATTTTGTAAACATCTTATTTTATTCTAGTTTTTATTTTTGCGTTGCGTTGCGAATTTAAAGAAAAACCATTGAACTCTGACCTTCGTTGTATACAATCTAAAATATACTGGTTTATATATTTCTTTTATATCTACACCACACGTACAAAGTTCACTTGTTAGGTTGTAGGACACGCTGTCGCCCTACTTTGTTTTTGGACATCCGGAAAATGATCCCGCTTTTACCTAACACCGAACTAAAACACGCAAAATAGGAATGTAAATAAATGTAATCCAACTAGCTTTATGTCGAACGATTTGTGAAGACCCGGTTCGTTACGTTATTTATAATAATACTAGGTGCGCCCGCGATCCTATGTGCGGTACAAGAAAACAAGAAATTGTAACTACTTAGTAAAAATAGTATGAGATTATAAAATCAATTTAAATTTACTGTACAAATTAAAAATCCATTTAGATTGAAAAAAAATTCACGGACGTCTCACCATATTTTCTCCCTACTATTTTTTTTTTAATTATCACTTGTCTATGGTAAAGGAACATTTATATGTGTAATTTCAAGATGTCGAGAGAAGAGAAGAGAGATTTTATCAATATCGGTAAAGCGCAAAAGAGTAACGAATATTCGTACATCCCTACAAACTGTTATTAGTACGATTGCGTACGTTACTTGTCTTCGCTCCTACTAGTATATTATCACATAAATTAACTGTCAAACGGTTAGATAAGCTCTTGTGCAACGTTCTAGTACTTTCCGTAAACAATAGACAGTGGGGTTGAATTGAATTTTAGTGCAGTCACGGTGATGACGTCTGTTTTGACGCATGCGCTTTGCGCATTCTGCGTTTGCGCGTCTTTTAAAGGCTTTTGAATTGCTATTATTGAACAAGTAATCTGTATCAAACCACACTAATTAAATAGTGATTTTTCTATTATTCATATTATATACATATATATAAATGACAGTAACTAAGTAACTTGTATATTAGACGAACAAAGTAAGATTGTTGCATTACTGCTTCGTACCAATGTTACGTGTTTGATCCTTGACAAAATAGGTATGTCCTGACGAAAGAAGTGACAAACGGACCAGGTGATTTAGTAATAGCATACCAATTACATTACGAAACTAAATGTCCACCTTACTTGTGCTAGAGACGGTCAGTGATAAACTAGCAACCCGTGTCGTTGGAGAACATGTGCCAATTCTAAATTGAAACTTTTTTATTTTATATTCGATTTTTTTTAAAAAGGAGGTCGGATAAGTTTAAAAACTGTTTGAAAATGGAGCTGAAGAAATTGTTTTATCTGTGGATGGTCGTAACGTTAATAGTGTTAGACTGTGTTATGGTGGGCACACAGCAGACTTCCTTTGAGTTGCCTGTTCAGCTGGTTGGATTTCCGTTCATTATCATGGCGGTGCGCATGACTAACTTCATCAAAAAGCTGTCATATGCGCTGAGTCCAGGTAAATCAAAATTCATAAAGGTAGTGCAAGCATAAAAAGATTAAAATTAAATATTTTTGTAACATTAATCGTTAGAAATGTGTCAAAAATCTAAATTATAATTTAAACCACAAAGTTCAATACACTACGTTTAAATCCGTCGAATTTAATTGTAAGTATTAACTAAAAGAATCCGATAAATTAGGTCAATGAACCCAACAAGCATTTTTACGTAAAACATCTTTATGGAAAATGGAAGCAGCTGTTGAAACTCGGCTTCTATCACAAATAAAAATTCGTTCTTTATTTCATCGGGTGGATTATAGTTGCGGCTGCACGGTTTTGCCCGCCTAAATGTTTATTAATGTTCTTAATATTTATATATTAAGAGATCTGCGTAGCTTTAATAACTGTACAGTTTGACTTTTGCAAGTCGTAAAACTTGCATAAAATTGTATAATATTTTATCAAAATATGTGTCCGTTTAACTTTTAATTACAGGTATGTAAGTTATCAAACTCTTGTGTCTATCTTAACGATCTACTTAATATCCAGGTTTCCACACGAAATCCAACATGATTCAGAAAAATTATAAATTGATTAGAAAAATGTTGGGGGATCCCGATGGGGATCAAACCGACCCGTTGATTGTTAGCCATATCCCCCGTCTAGCCCGTCGGATTTATCTATTTATCTGCTGTATAGTACGTAATTAAAAAAAGTACTCACAGTATTATAAATTAGTTTAAAACGGTCATACTTTTAACTCTTCATTAACAAATTAGCTTTAATGCTTTACTGTACCCTTAGTTATCTTTATAATCTATATTTAAAAGCCAATTAATTAATAGTACTAAGTATGTTATAGAGTTTGTTCCATAACAATTGCCTAGTATTTATACCGGCATATAAAAAGAACGATTTACAAAGTTCTGTCAAATACTTTACACTTTGAATATTCGAGCGAACAAGGTTTCGTAAACTCGTGCAACAAACTCTATTTAACTTTATACTATAAGGGAGCCAACTTGCTGTAGATATATTGAATACAAAGTTGAAGGATAATTTATTCATAATTAGTATTAATTAATAATTACGATTCAAAGCGTTATTTGCTTTTTTTATCTAATTTAGTAAATATTAAACATAAAATAGACATTTATTTTGTATTAAATTACGTTTAATTGACTTCTTTGACACTCTTATTAAACGATGTGCTTTGTGTATATAATTTACTAGCTGTTACTCACGACGTCGTTCTGCATCCCGTCGCGTCGTCTTAGCGAGTTTATCTAAATTGTGAACTGTTGTGAATTTTTTTATACATAGATTTTTGGTTTCTTAAACCCTAATGCCTAATGTACGGCCATGTCGGGCAAGTGTGACGTGGGTAGTGTGGTAAATCGTATAGCGACCAGAACCACTAAACACACCACCAGCCCTCTACGGTGCTTAGAGCCTTGGGAACACGTTATTGGTCGTAGCCTAATGTTTTTTTTGCCTTCGTCGATAAATGGTGCAAATACTATGAATGACGAAAATGACTTTTACTATAAAGTAGAATAGAGACAAGCCGTTGGTTGTCCAACAATATATTACCGAATATATTCCAAATTATAACCGTGAAAGATTAAAAAACATCCTCAGTAAAGATATTTTCTTCACTAAGTTCGATCGGTTACTAGTATTCTACGCGGAATATCTGGAATGTACGAAAGTGCAAGTGAACACAGTAACCTACTTGCTCGATGACATAACTTTCCGATTGACCAACGCGACGGGGAAGCCGTTGCGAGTCATTCGCACCGCGAGACCATCATTACAGTTACCACTCCTAGCCGAACTTAAAGCACGTACGCGTTGCTCTAAAGAATACTAATAAGGTTTTAATCTATTCAAACTTTTTGGTGCACGCGAAGAAACGTCAAACTCGAGTATGGAATACTAGTTCAACCTATAATCTGTGGTAAACTTTAACGCGGGAAAACGTTTTTTAAAGTGCTTTACAATGAAATTTGGGGTTTTCCTGAGTCTGTTGATTTTGTTTGGCTGTTTCAATGATATCTCCAGTGAAGATTCACCGTTCGAACTGCCCGTGCAGTTGGTGGGGTTCCCTGTTATAGTGGGCAGTGTGAAGATTGCGACTTTTTTAAAGAGACTCGGTTATTCATTAAGTCCTGGTACGTATTTTAATATTTTGATAAATTGTTACATTATGTCTATATTAATAAAACAAATTCGGGTTAGTTAGAACTTATGAACGGCTAACAATAGTCTTGAATTTTACTGAGTTAAAAAGTTAGTAGAGTGGGTTAGCTGTTGGTCTTAGGTTTAATTCCCGCTGTGTTAAAGTGTAATCTATTAATGAAAGACGCGTGACCATGTACACTGGAAAATTACAAGTGTTACAGAAATTAAATTATTTTTCTTAATTATCAAAAGTAAAATTAAATTAAATACCTATCTTGTTTAGAAAGTTTGAACTTCATCTTTTTGCCTTAAAGGTTTAAAACCTTAATTTAAATACTGTCTGTTTACTATAGTACACATTTCAAAAAATCATTTTAACGGTTTAAAACGCGATATATATTGAAAATTGAAAATTTTTTTACTTCGGCCTGACTTTTCAAATGCTTGCAGCAACCATCGTCACAGGGACCCGAAGTTAAAAATATTTTTCAAATAAGTTTAAGACTTATCGCGTTTTCAAACTGTTAAAGTGTTTTATTTAAAAAATAACTTTAATTTTATACAAAACCCTACGCCCAGTTTACTAACTGATGAAATTGGATATTGTCAAAACCTTCATACATTGACTGCATAGACCGATTCACTTTTTTATCTTCGTATATTTGAATCGAACGATATTTGTATCGCAAAAGCCATTATATTTTAATGCTCGCTACTGACCTTTAAAAATCGTGGTGAAGGGAATTTCAGTATACCATATGACGCAAATTGCATGAACGTTGCAAGAGGTACATTACTTTGAAATGCTATCTGTGTTTCTTTCCAACGTCCTCGTGTTAATTAAACCTTTTAAGTACAGCTTCAATTTTAACAAAATCTAATAAAGTAGACTCTGTCATGGTAAAAAAAACTGTAAAATCCTGTGAGGCATAGGGCGTATTCTGTGTCCGTTTCACTTACTAACTTTATTTACAGACAAGTAGTTGATCACACTCCTGTGCCCAATCTAACCGAAACAAATGAATCGTGCTTAATGTTAGGCATCACGTTTTAATCATGACGCTGTCATCTTTCTCGTCAGTGAGAGGTTAATACACACAGATAACGAGGTCGACTATTTGAATTTTTTGGAAGATAGTAAAGAATCAGCATAGATGGTGGAAAGTAAAGTAGTTAACGCTTTAAAGGGCAAGTTAAGCGGTATTATCATAACTAATTTAAAAATATTATCGTGGTTTCTACCCTGTACTTTTCCTATTAGATTTTTTTTTCAAAAAGCGGAATAAAAATGCAAACGGTTTTAACTAGTACTAGACGTCTTTAAGTGTAATACTATATCCAGCTATATAATAACAAAAGTTTCATTACAAAATTAAAATACTTACAATAGCTTAGATGTATTAAATTAATTTACATTAAATGGAACACTATATCAGTTTAATCTTTAATAAATATTTTATATTAAAATTCTCAAAATACAAGTACACTTAACGGAGTATCGTTACGGCAGATATCGTTTCGTTTCGGAAGCGACCGTCATTAGAGATCATTAGGTTTGTAACATAAAATATGTTTCCAAAACCGTTAACTACAAGGTAGATTAAGAGACGAAATATGTACAAGGCTTTTACACTTATAAATTTGTTCTAGCTTATATTGTGCCTGAAAACTACATTAAATAAAAAATATTTATAGGTTTCAAGGTAGAAGTTATTAAAGGTGAATTAGCCTTATGCTCTGTAAAAACTACAATAGTTTACATACAGGGTGCGGCCAGAATTTTTATTTAACCTGTGTATTAAACTCATTGTCTTAAAACTATTTCCAAAAACAAAAATGGTCGTTGATCAAATTTCAAAAAGGTAAATTCGTCATACTATGTAGATACGTTATAGGTCGTTTGATTTTACCAAACATTTGATGTTTTTGAAATTAGTAGATGACATAAAAAACGACAAACGTAACCCCCTTGTTTGAAAAAATAATACCTGCACTTACATTACTTGTCCGATTTTAATATACCTTTGCAAGGACGCTCAGAACCTACCAACATTCTATTAAAATTAATGTGATAAGCCTAGTGGCATCTAAAACGTTTAAAAGTATTAAATACATAAGGCATCCCTTAGTTTCCTTTTGTTTATTTGTACTACTAAGTAATAATTAGTTTCAGGAATTTAATTCAATCGAAAACATTCAAATAAATACAAAATTAAACGTGCTGTTGCATAAATTATTCATTTAGCAGACCTCGATTTATGACTGTTTGGTTCAATAACTCTGTATGTTTTTCTCAAATGCATTTTTAAATATCCGTAGAAAAACATTTTTGAAGTTAAACTATTCAGTCCTAGCAAAGTGTACTACTATAAAAAATGATTGTCCATATTTGAAGTAGAGGAAGACGTTCCCTTTGAGGCGTGGGCAACGGGGCACACATTAGTTTGATTTATTAATAGATTTTTTAGTATATACTACCATACTTACTAATGTATCTTAAGGAAGTATAGTAATACAAAAAAAATATGTATTTTTTGGAAGTCTAATCAAATCCTCTCATGGCGAATATTTCGAAATAGTTAAGTAAAGTTAAATCAACGATTTTTTCCCTTCTGTACTGAGGTAAAATTAAAAATATTTTAACAATCGGTAAACAACTATTACAGCCACCTACAGATCGAGAAATCGTCGTCAGCTTACCTTCGCAAGTGATCCAGAAAATTACGACGTGCAAGAAGTAGAAAAGTACATAGTGGGTGAATTCGGCGCCCGCGCATGTGTCTTCGAAAGGGTGTGTACCAACTACGCGAAACGGGCGAGACTACAACCCAGGCCGCAAATGGATTGGCCGGATGTTTTTAGGTAAGTCTCAATATTACAATGCATGCAGTAACAAATAATAATAATAGTAGACATAAGAAGAAGAAGAAGAAAAAAGCCTATTTTATAGCCCAGGGCAGCGGTCTTGAATTATGTAATGGACAATATATATTTTTTCTATTTACACTGAAATTTTAAGTATATCTAAAATGATTTTTATCAATTGAAATAGTTTTATATAGGAAGACTATGTATTAGTACGAGTAGGTAGTTTTTTAGATATTAGCAAGTAAACAGACAGAACTACTTGTGATCAGACTTCTGTGCCCTACCCGACCCGTCGAACTTTTTTTTGTTTTCCTGGGATTCGAACACAGGACCTCTCGCGCTTAACGCAATGCTAGGCAATACGTTTAGCCATTTGGCTACAGAGGCGTGAAAACTATTGACATTACTTAATTACAAGGGATTTGTATAAGTCTGTTATATCAGTATATACTTCATCACCGTTCTCTCTAACAAGCGATTAAATAGAATTGAAGCTACGCAGTTTAATTTGATAACTTTGACAATATTGGGACACTTCACTAACGTTTTGGGCACGGTGCCAAACTAAATGGATTTTGGATGGATTGGCCTGCAACTAGCAGATGACCCTCGTACTTCAGTTGGGCGATACGAGTTATAAACTACTGTTACAAGCGAACGGTGCTTTTTAGACGAGCTTATTCTATAGTAGAATACAAAGACATCTCTAAAGACGGAAATAATCATAATTCTGATCTTAGCTAAAAACAACTTTTATATTTGAACGGTTTAATATTTTTTACATGTTGCATATGATGGCTGACAACACTTTTTTAAATTTTAGTATTGTTAATTTGCATAACGTTAATAACTTCGTGCCAGTATACTTTGTTTTAGCTTTTCGTAATGTGAGCGTGCAACTTTTCCATCTGAATAGTCTTTCAATAGTGTTAGTTAATAAAATATTAACTTAAAACAAATTAAATAGAAGTTAAAAATATAATTAGATTTGTAAAATATACTATTACAGCAGCAAGGAACGCTGTGGATACCAGTTCCCGTTTGTCTAGGCATTTTTTTTAAATTTATCCTTCTTGTCTTATTTCTTGTTATGAACCGTCAAAAATGCTAACACTATTGAAAGAGTATAATCAGATTGAATAATCAAAGACACATGCAGATGCTCACAAAACAAATAGCTAAAACAAAATACACTATAGTTCAGTCTGACGTTATTTCAAATTAATATTACTAAAATTAAACAAATGTTGAAAACCTTGGCCTCATCTAGTTTTAATCCAGGGCCCACTTTCCTAAGTAGTTAGTTCAATTACTACACCAAAGAAATAATTAAAAACTTTATGCAAATAAAGAAATATGTTCTTCACATTTTAGAAATAATACTAGCAATTGAAAACAATATATAATTTTAAAAATCGAAAATAAATTGAAAAAATTTTCGACCTTAATACGCAAGTGTTAAGGTTGAAATTACATTGCGCGAGAGGTGCATGTATCAATAAGTTGAAAAAATTCGACCATGAGGTGTAGGACTCGGTAGCTCAATTGGTAGAGCAACAGCACGGAAAGCTGACGATGCCGGTTCAAGTCCTGCCCGAGTCGAAAATTTTTTCAATTTATTATCATTTTTAAAATTATATAGTGCCTTCATGTGCAATAAATGTGAAAAATATTAATGTTTTCAACAATATATAAGTTATAAGCACGCAATCAAACAATTTTCGTATAGTTTTTTCAATCGCGAACGATATAAAACTGAGATAGAACATAAAATACTGTATATGCTTTCACTGCCCTAACCTATAAAGAAAAATGTAATATCCGATATTTCCTTTGTTGATTATTTCAATAAAAATCTAGAACCTACGTCATACTTAGCAACTAAACCGTTGGGCAAAAGCACGTTAGCGAAATATGTACGTGACAGTCCACGGGCCGGTTGCGTTATGCGCATGAGTTACATCAGCGCCCCACTTAGCCGTCCGCTGCATTCACTGGCCTGCTTTTGTGGCCTTGAAACGTTTCGTAATCGTAGAAACCCATGATTTGGATGTGTTCTGGTCAAGGCCGTCGCATTGTTCTCTTTGAACTTTGACTGAGCACAAGTCTGCAATATTTAAAAATATATATATATACAACAGATAATCAACATTAAATAAACGTGAAACAAAACGTGAAATAAATTATTTAATTTATATGCCCTACCCCCCTGTAACTACAGTCGCTGCGAAGCATGAGAAAAGACAGGCCGTAGTAAAAATAAATTGTAAATTAGTTAACTCATATATATTTTGGGTTTTAAACCGTTAAAAGTGTTTTATCTATTTTGGTAGTACTCACGAAAACTACAGACATTCATTAGCCTGAACGTTTGAATTATTAAGGAGTTGTATTGTGTAATTTAATTCAAAATTCACTAGAAATTTCGGAGTTTCTGATAGTTATCAATGAAACCTTAAACAATACGATAAGTTCCTTCGTTAACTATTAAATTAAACTTCGACCCTAAACTCGGCTGCTAAATTAACCATTTTCCATTGGAATCTTGTTATTACATCGCCTAAATACTGATCTGAAAGGTATGCTAAAGCAAAATTGTTTACAACAGCTGAAAATATATATATATTTTTCGTACAGGTTAACTTAGATTTAGCATTTCATATACGTTTCCATTTTTTCCTTTTCAAGTAATCCAACAGACGCCTTGTATAGCCTAGCCCATTTCGACATAATACCTTTTAACAATAGGCTTCAGAGCTTAGGTCTAACTCGTTTCTTCGGATGGAGTTGACAGATTTTACGACTACCGCCACTAAATTCAGTGGGGAGAACCAGGATTGTCGGTTCAACTTACTATCCAAAGCAGGCTGTTGTTGTAGAAATCTTCAAAATACTGCACTAACATTTCGACCGACCCAGGACTCGAATCCTGGACATCGAGGTATTTAATTACTACTAGATGGAGGCAAGGTCTTCTAAGAGTGAGAGAAATTCTATGTTTTAATCATAAAAACCAAGCTAGGCTTATCAAACCAATGTTGTTATTAACTGCTGTCAGATTATTTGAAAGGAAAATTGAATTTTCCAAGCATTCATGGTTATACACAGAGAGTATCGTGTTACGCAATGCTGCGGTAACTTTCACTTATCTAATGAAACTTCTAGAACTATGGCTATGTAAATTATGTTTAGATTAGGTTATCGTAAATTTAAATCTATAGAATTTTTAACCCTGAAACAATCATATTTAGAAGTTATTATTCAAATCACGGCATGCTAATTCCTCCAAATATGAATTAGGACGAAACAGATGGCGCTAGCGTAGCAGATTTAACTTTGACATTAGTGATGTGGATAACATCCATCTTCAAAAAAGTCCTTTGAAACATTGGACAGTAGTTAAAATAAGTATATATGATTATTATAAATCTTAAGGGTTTGTTTGAATGCGCTTAGCAAACGAAATACTAGGTTAGGATCGAATCGAAAAACTATTTGTCGTGTCGCTATAAAACATCATGCTGCAACCAATAAGAGCGAAGAAAGAGAGTAAATGTGAAAAGGGGTCACGATATCCAAAAAATATGTAGTAAATAATTATTTTTCTTTAAATAATATAAAAAAATGACGCACACAGTTTATATCTTACCTTTAAGATTAACTCACAAAGTTTTATTAGAATTAAATTTTGGTCGAAATACTTCACCTGGCAAAAAAAAAACTTCGCTAATACGTTTTGCAGTTTAAACCGTTAAAAGTGTTTTATTTAACTGATTATTTCATAAAATGTCGCCATAAGATCAAATATTTTCTAAGCAATATTATGTTTTTTATTCCAGCCAGTACAAACGGTCTCCCGACCAAGCGAAGGAGTTGTACCTACTCAGCGTGTTCTTAGGAGACATTGTGGGTTCCCCGCAGCTTTGTCATCAGCTCGGAAAGCGAAGAGGATGTGATGATTCTTTACTTAGATAAAAACATAAATAATAATTAAGATTAAAATTGTTGATTGGGTCCACCAGATTAAAACGCGATTTATATGATTCACATACCACGACCATTAAAAAAAGATTTATATTCTATATCATCGAACTAATTTAAAATATTTTGTATTAATTGTGCAATAAAATATTCTTATTATAATACATAACTACAAATAATCGTAAGAGGTATTTAATTGAAATTTGGTATGTAGTTATAAAAAAATATTTTCTTCGATTTCTGTGATGAATCAAAGATTATATCTATTTAGATATCCAATTTGTTATGTGTATTGTAGGTTACAATTCTATTTTAATAGAAACAAAATATTCTACCTTTATAATTGCTTTGAATTTGGTGTAAATAAGTAATGTTAAGCTTTTAAATAGATTAAGCAAGAAAAGTTACCACATCAATAATTGTGATGTTTAATTAGTTTATAAGTTTTTAACCAAATTTTGTTCACTTAATTGTGTATATCAAAAAGGTGGTGCTAATTTTACTTTTACATTATTAAGAATAAGTTTTTCCTCTATATAATAACTCAATGCCCTTTTACCTGGCAACGAAACAATCGCCCACAGGAACGCTGACGCGTCTGGACGCTTCGCGATTCGCGTCGCCGTTCGCCTTCTCGTTCGCACCACCAATTTTCGTGTTGTACACTTTCATTCCTGTTAGATATACATCCGTTTTAAGCTAAATAATTTAGTTTTTGTAATAAATCGCGCGCATCAAAGGTTACCTAATTTATAAGGGAGTTAATTATACGTTGAAATGATTTTTTGTCATATGAATTAATTGTTTTTAAGTTAATTGAGTACAGATTTAAGTAAGTTTAAATATAGTTAGATTTTTTACAATGTCGACCGTGAATTCTTTCTCTTAGTTGCCAGTTTATTGCAGCAAAAATAATTTGGATTTGTTAAAATGGTTACTGTTTGGTGTTTTTTTGTGGTATATAAAATTGAATGGTTAATAAAGATGTTCTCTTATTACTTATTATCCCTAACATAGAAGTCATGACCTACAACATACAATTAACTTACTTTATGGGACAAAGATTCCTAATATTTTATTATTACATATTATTGTGCTAAGCACTTTGTACTGTAGTACATATATTTCCTCAGCGGTTAGGTATACCAAAAATTGGCAATTCATGTCAATATGAAGAGATGTTACGCACTTTGTCCGCCTTCTAACGAATTCCGAACCTCTTCGAATCCCGGATTTATAGTTTAGGTTAGGCATGGGACGGAAATGTGTTTGACACATGACCTAGATTAAGACACAACCAAAATATACATATATATATATATATATAACATATAACTTTTAGTCAATATACTCAGTTTTTTTTGATTAACTATTATAAAAAAAATTAGGTAAGTACTCATATGTTGAAAATGGCGATCAATTCTATAAGCATGTATGTTTATTTTTAACTCTATCACATTTTATATTGTAACTAGAAAAAAGCAAATTTATTTTGTTGTATTATAGTTAAAGTAGATAATAAAAGAAAAATATATAATAGCGACATCTCTGAACAGTAGTAAGCAACACATTTCCTATCCGTTCATTGCGTTCAACGAAACTTTCACTACGAAAAGTAGTAAATGTACCCGTAATAACGGCGTTTTCATAACGTATTCATAGATGGCGTTAATATTAAGATATAAAAAAAAATACAACTAATGTTAAGTACAATTATCAGCTGCAATATTTGCCAATTCAGCGATCATTTCTCCTACTAATAACTGGGACATCACCATCGTCCTTAATGTAATAGTTTCCAAAGCTGGGACTGCACATGATGATAGGTGACAAAGGTTATCTTTACTGAAGAGTGCATTTCTGAGAATCGAACTAGCGACCCTTACAAACATGGTTTGGATACACGGACCAACACGGTATAAGTATACATGTAAGTAATATCGACACGGTATAATGTATAGTAGTATTTTTCTTAGTCTTCTTATAATTATACGTCGTTGTAATTTCAGAAGAAGTAATTATGGTTTACATAAAAAAATCTTCAAAGTAATCTACTACATAATATCCGGGTAGCGCCGTGCACTTGCCACACTAACTGAATTCTTGCCGGTGGAAGGAAGTATCTAGTACAACATTACTGTCATTAGCTCCACCACAGCCACTGGCTCCGACTTCCTCAATTAACATAATAATTTAAATCCTCTCACTGCTTTTTAGTAAGAAAGAATTTGCACTTTTATTTGATACTAAGTTTATATCATAATTATATAATTGCTCTATTTTGGTTTATTTTCAATTGTTAATATTGCTTAATAAATAAACAATATTGCCTTGGGCTATATTGTGAACCAAACAAATTTTAAGTCGATAGTAAATTGAAAAAAAAAGTAACGACACGGACCGGACCAATTCGGCCCCCGTGTCCCGTGGTAAGAGCGACAGCACGGAACTCTGTGGATATGTGAGTCCGGTTCAAGTCCTGTCCCTGTCATATTTTTTTTAACATCAAATTGATTTTTAATTTATATAGTCCTATGATCAAAAAATATGAAAAATTTTAAAGTTTTGTAACTTTAACTCGCCTGAAAGACCCCTTGCGTTGCCTAAGCAAAACTAGAATTCATTTTATCATATTAAATGCCTTTATTTGAGTATTGTCTGTAGTTTATACGAGTAATTGAATTAAAACACTTTTAACGGTTTAAAACATGATTAATATTTCCAAGTCCTCCACGACCACGGCTGCTGCAGAGCATTAGTTAAAACACACAGAGAGAGTAGTTAAAATAAAGTTCTAAACAATTTTCATTAGTACAATTCGTGTTTTAAACTGTTTTTATCAAATGCCTTCATTTTGTGTTTTGGCTTTAACAGGTTTGAAAAGAAAATTAACTGAGTAATTTAAGTTTAAAAAACAGAAAGAAGTTTAAAAACAGAGTCTCCAAGATTTCGATTTAATAAAACTTAAAAAAGGAATAGTAGAAAGTAAATTTAAACTCGGGAATTGGACGATTGGCGAGGTCAGGTCCCTCGGTGTCTTTGCAGTAAAGTTTATCAGGTCACCAAGTCATTAATTAAACTTCAGCAATCAAAGTCTTGGTAGTATTCCCAAACTCTAATTGAGACATTACCTAACGTTAAAATCTAGACTAGTTAATTTTAGGTCTGAGTCATAAGTCGCGTTTCACAAGATAACGCTAAGCCATTTTATATATCACAGCTCAGCAGACTTTAAGAAGATTTAAGTTATTAAAATTATTCTCCCTCATAACACTCCTTCTTCGCTTTTCACTTTGTATCTGTAAACAGTGCATAACTTAGAATAATCTATTTATTTAATTTTTTATTATTTAATAAATTAGATCAACGAAGTATGAGGTGCTAAAAGCTTTTTATTTCAGGGAACAGGTAACTAAATTAATTGTAATAATAGGGTTTTATATATCGTAACTTTTTTTCTTAAGAAAACAATATATACAACTTTTTATAGATATAAATATATTCAGTTGAAAAGTTTGTTTGTTTGAACGCGTTAATCTCAGGAAGTACTGGTTAGAAATGAAAAAAATCTTTTTGCGTTAGTTACAGCATATATCGAGGAAGGCTATAACGTATCACGATCAGACCAATATGAGCCAAGTAACAGTGGAAAATTCGAAAAAAAAAGGGAAAAGAGATTTTTGAGGGCATTGTTTGAGCAAAAACGGTTCAACCAAAACAATGTGTCTGAACGGATAAGATGAACTTGCAAGAACGCCTGTACGCGACCAAGGTCCAAAAAAATTGTTATGCCCAAAATAATTGTTCTACGCGAGCGAAGTCGCTGACACAGCTAGTTTGTAATAATAAATAAAATTATGTAATAGTAAATAAGTTCACACATTTTCTGTATTATATACAAACTACAATATCGTCAGCTATAAATATGTATAGTTCTGTTTTACATCAAGTGTTCGATGCATTTTATAAGAAGTTATGTAAGGGCGCTTGCGCAATTACTACGGCTTGTACGAAGGAAATGTTATTGCGAGCTATACACAATGTTTGTATAGTCCGATAACTATCAATCAAATTCTCATTATAGTCTCCACAATCGAAATAGAGTTCTTAAATCACATCATTTGCTGGACGTTTACGAAATAATTAATTGAATAAGTACTGTGGGAATAAATTAAGCCATAGTTTATTTTCGGCGCGGCGTACGGATAACACCGTGGAAAACTGTCATAAAATACCTATACAGGTTTTGTCAAATATATTGAATACTAGCTAGGCAGCCTTACTGTTTGCTTCTTATATATTGACATATTTATCTATTAATAATAAATAAAATTGATAAATATTTTAAGTATTTAAATAAAAACACTTTAACGGCTTAAAACGGAATATATATTTAAAAAAGTTGATGCTTAGCAAAGCATCCGAAACCTTGGGCCGTAGATAAAAAAAAAAATGAATTTAACTAATATATATCGCGTTTTCAAAAATGTTTTATTTAAATGTGTACTACTCGCGTAAACTACAGATAATACATAATTATATTAATAAAGTATTTTACTTTAATGGTATAATTATATTCTGTAACACATTTCGTTAAATAAAATATATAAAACTAGTTCAATAATATCCGATTAATATATAAATATAGATCAGTCAGTCACGCTTTCTTTAATATTGGGTAATAAAAAAGGAACATCGGATATATTTTTTGCAAACCCAAAAGAAGCAAGTTAACGTAACAACAATTCAATTTAGTTGAATAAAGGCCGTTGGCTGTTTCTTTGTGGAAATAAGAAAGACCTTTCATGCGAGAATTAACTAAACCTAAAATTGTCTTCGTACTTGAAATTGGCACAATTCTTTTAATAATTGATTTTTAAAAATCGGAAATGAATTGAAAATCAAGGCTTCAAATTTTTTTTACTGTGAAACGGACACAGCAATGCGTTTGCCCCATTCTTAAGATATTGCACTCTGCCCATCCAATATAAACATGTATGTCCGAGAATCAAACCTAGGAACTCTCAGTATATACGACACATATTAAAATCGAATATACAAGATGACAGTGCAAGTAAAAAAATCGTTAACGCAAAAATTGTTAAATTGTTAGGATTGTTGTTTACGGGCTGTTAGGTACCGTTTGGCATTTCAAAATAGATACAATTTTGTTCAGCGTTTACATAGCTAACAAGCCGGTATTAATATACCAGAAACACGCTTAGCAAGGAGTTGTAACGATTATATGCTAAATACTGTCTATAGTTTAGTACGCGAGTAGTACACATTTAAATAAAACACTTTAAAGGTTTAAAACGCGATATATGGTTAAACTTATTTGAATTTACTTAATTTTACTTATTTCCGTTAAGAAGATTATGCAGTTCAATATTTTAACGTTTAATTATCTTATATCGCTGCCAACAAAAGCTCACTGTATATAATATTATTTATAAATACAAGTCAGGTTAAATATAGTTAAAACATAAAGTAGTCATATATTAATTTTGTTGCCCAATAACAAGTAGTCATGAACCATAACTATAAGTTTTTATATTCGTAAATAAACAAGTGTGTTTGTTTATCCTTTGTGACCTAACTGAGAAACTCTCTGTATTTTAGGCATTGTTAGTGGGAAAAAGAGACAGTAATAGAAAATATTTGTAGGACAAAAGATTTTTTTTACTAATCAATTTAGTTCACACCAAATCGGTGATCCGACTTCCTCAATTAAAACTATGTATTATTATTTAAAATAAAACAATTTTATATTCCTTGCTACTGCCGTAGTTACAGGTGCTTGCGCCCCAAAAAGAGAAAAGAAATATTTTATGTTCTAAACGGTTAGAAGAGTTTTATTGTAATGTGTAACATTTGTGTAAACTTCCGACAATACTATGTTATATTATATTTCATACAGAATTCAAATCCAGGACCCTTAACGCGATACTACGCAACGCTACGTTTAACAAATGAGCCGCGAAGATCTTAAAAAATACTAATAATTTAGGTTATAAGATTGTAGAGTGGAAGTGTCGCCACTTTTCTAGCAGAATTATAAATCATGTGGAATTTATTTTTCATACATTTATGCGAGTGAAGCAGCGGTTAAACGCTAGTGTCTTTTACAATCAATGGTTGCTAAACACGATTATTACAGTAGCACAATCGTATCTGTTAGATGTTGCTATCATTACGACTTGATAAGTATACTTGAGAATTGTACAATAGCTAAGGCAGCGGTTCCCTATAAACGCTGTGGTTTATGTTAGCTTACTATAAGATCTTGACAGACTAGTTGTTCTAATGCAATGTATGGCTAATAATCAACAGGTCGTGGGTTCGATCCCCAGCGGGTCTAACATTGTCTGAAATTCTGGGTGACAGAAATATCGAATTTCCATCCCGGTCACGAACCACGGTTCATCACGTTTCAGATTCAGTCAGTGGATTTCCCAATCTATCTATCACGAAAAATGACGGATTTTTTCGTGTAAGATAGATTCCATATCCAATGAAAATGTATGTCTGTACAGAGTGTGTAATATTTTTTTTTCAAATTTATCATTCGGGTTCTTTGATCCAATATATGACTAATAAACAATTTTTTCTACATTTTTAGATGTAAAATGGGTGGTGTTAATATATATACCACGTTCGATTTACGAACTAACGATCGCAGAGAGCTTTAGTGTACTCGTAAGTAAGCGTTTGGTTTTAGTCCACGGATTTACAAATGCCCAAAACCAAAGTAGGTCAACAATGCAACTTGCGGGGCATTTTATCTTCCATTAAGTAAACCTCATGCTTTTCTGACCCCATCTGTCATAAAAAAAGGCTTTCTCACTATGTTTTCCTTTGATGCAGAGATAAGCTTAAAAGCTCCCATCTTTTATAGATGTCTGCTAGATGGCAGCTGCTGTTTATGTAATTTATCATCCGTAACATATGGATAAAATAAAATGAATATACCTTTCTCATTTCAAGGTTGGATGGATTTGCCCAATGGAGCGAAATAGTTGCTTAGATTTCAGGGATTGATTGCGAATAAAGATAGCGTAAATCTGTATTCAATTAGTTCGTTGTTTAATACTGAATTAATTAACGTGAACTATTATATTTCCCTTACATTATATATCATACAGTGTAGGGTTGGGCACAAAACTCCGATCAACTACCTGTTAATA